CCATGGACCCGGCCCATGCATCCCGGGGTCCCCGAGGGTGGCTGGGTGCAGACACGAGGCCTCGGGCCACCCCACGCCAACACGACACACATGGGGTGTACGCACACTGGGAGCCATGGGGCTCAGCCCCCATCACCCCACCCCCGTGGGCCTGAGGCCACAGCGGACGGACAGATGGACTGGCCAGACAAGAGGTTGAGATGGGACGAATGAGCACAGCGGAGGCCACACGCAGGGTCCTCACGGAAGCCTCTTCTTGGGGTCCCCACCGGGCGCACAGGGAGCACCTGCCTGAGCAGGGTTAGTACAGGACAGTAGGCTGGGGGTCGTCAGGCAGCTCCAGGGGTGACAGCACAGATGGAACGTGGGACACGAAGGGCTCGGCATGGACAGGACGCACTCCTGGCCAAGCGCTTGGCTCTCGAGCCATTACCTGGGGCGTCACAGCTGGGCGGGAGTCCGCAGGAGCTGGGCGGGCGGGCGCTCTGTCCAGTGCCCATGAAAGCACGTGGGGGTTGGGGTGCCTCCCCGGGTTTTCTAAAATGCCGAGATGCTTTGGACTGAATTTTTAGAAGGATAAACTCGGGAGAGGGGCCAACTCATTGGAGCACGACTTCCACACGTGCACGCGGACGGCCTGGAATCCCGTGTGGGTGCGGCTCGCGGGCGTCTTCAGGCTCCAAGGGCTATGACCCCAGGGGCTCAAGGCCGCCTCCAGCCCCACACGACGCCTTGGCCCCTCCGCACGCGGCAGTCCTCTCTCCAGCGACACGTGCCGACCAGCTCCCGCTCTCACGCTCAGGGGCAGCGGCCGCCTCAGGGCTCCCCCGGCCACAGCTGCTGTGGCCGGGGACATCTGCCCCCAGGACAGATGGCAGAGGGTGGCCCACGCCTTGACTGCCACCTTGACTAGACTCTGGTTCTGGAGGAAGGCTGCAGGTCCTTGGCTGTCCCCAGAGGGGTCAAGGCGGGCGTCTTGGGGGGCTAGAATGGGGGCAGGTTTGTTCATTTGGAGTTGGCGACCGAGCAGCAGAAGGAGCACAGGCCCCGCGGCTGAGAAGGGACGGCGGCTCCTGTGCCGAGCCGAGCCTGAGCAGAATGGCCAAGTGGGTTTGGGCGGCACACACCGTCCTCCTGCCCCGGGCGCACCTGAATCCTCAGCAGAAAGGGTGGGCGGCCGAGCTGCCTCCTCGGTGGGGGCGGCCCTGTGAGCAGCAGGGCCAGAGAGGGCGTCTGGCCCCTGACCCCACTTTTCCAATCTCCTTCCCCAAAATCGTGTGGCCGCGGAGCACAGTATCGTCCGTGCTGCGGGACCTGACGAAACGGGCAGGGGCTGAATATGTCCCAGGCCTCCCCTCTGCAGCCCCCGCCTAGGCCTGGCCGGACCCCCCAGCCGGACGCGCCCGCCCCCAGCACCGCGGGAAGGCGCGACCCTCTGGGGGCCCACCACCTCCTGGGGACGCACGGGTTCCGGAGCCACCTGAGGGCAGGCGGGTCAACACTGGCCTGACGCGACAGGACAAAATTCAGACCCAAGGCCCCCTGCAGAGTCTCTGGCCCCGCAGACACAGCTCCTTGCTGGGAGCAGCCCCGGGCGGAAGCCTCCTCCAGCAGCAGTGCCCGCCACGCTCCACCACAAACCACCAAGACACAAAGTGGCTCATGTCCTGCCAGCAAAGGGCAGGTGACAGGAACCACGTGAGCACCGCAGGCCCAGACTGCAGGGTCTGCTCCAAGTCAGGGGCTCCTCCCACGGCACGGCTACGACCCCTCCCCCCTCCCCGAGAGCACCCCAGTATGGACGGGGAGCAGATGTACACCCAGCAGAGCAGGCCAGCGGTCACTGGCATGGCTAACACCCGAGCTGGGATGCCTCCCTGGGGGGTGGATCCAGTACCGGTTTCCCAGGGCCGCTGTTCAGGGCGCCGCCGGGCTCCTGCCTGCAAACTCTACAGCCTGAAGGGGGCCGAGCGCCACGACCCAGGACCTTCTCATCTCTGGCCACAGATTTAGGGGCTCGCCTGTAACTGTCTTGAGTCCGCTACGTGAGAGCGAAGCAGACGGGTCATCTGACAGCTGAGTGGTTTCAGGGTGCGGTTTCCATCCTTCTGTGACTCGGAGAGCAGATTTCCACTTTCTCTGAAACGTTCTTCTCTGAGGCACGAGTGGCCCTCCTGGGGTCGAGCCCATGTTGTTCCGTGTGCCCCAGGACCATACCTCGGGGGGTGGGCACGGCTCAGCAGAGTGGGTCTGGGGGCCTCAACCACCCCAGGGGCTTCTGACAACCTCCCCCCAGCCAGGGACTCTCCGATCTCGGGGCCAGGCCAGCTCTGCGGTGGGGAACACAGCTGATGGTGCAGGGTGGACGCCCACAGTGCCCCCGGGGTGGGGGGCTGCCCGACACTGGGGACGAGGGCACAGGCAGAGGGAGACCGGACTCCAGTGACGGGGGCTGCAGGGGCAGCAGGGGCGGGAGGTGCAGCCTCTGAGGGCCTCTGGGAAGAGGAGGAATCTAGAGGCAAAGAAGGTCTTTCCACCCCATCCCCACGTCAGGAGCATTTGTCTCCAGAACTTTCCAGAAGTTGCTCATGCTGCAGCTCAGAAACAGTGAGAGGAGAGTGAGTCCGGGACCTGCTGGGGCAGTCGCTGCCCTTGGGGAGGACCACACCGTTGGGATGCTCCATGGGGTACAGAGGACGCAGGTGCCAGCTTCACTTGTCGGTGACGGGGTGGGGATGGGGACATATGGCAGCAGCACCCCTGTCCCAGGCACAGGGCCTAGAGTGCTGGGTTCCCCCGCGCTGGCCGACGGCGCTCGCTTTCCCAGGACCGAGCGCAAGGGATCATCAGAGGATGGGCTGTTGAAGGCCAGCCAGGGCCGCCCGTGTAGTGGCTGGAGGCCTCGTCTAGAAAGCCTGGTGCAGCCTCGAGGAGCCTCTCAGGGCGGATGCGACGTGAGTGCCGGCAGAGCAGGCAGCAGAGACCCCATGTCCACCTGCCTTGGTGTGCCTGACACACCCACGTGGGCTCGAGTCACAGAACTGTCCCCAGGATCGACCCTGGTCTCCCCAGCCCCCGAGGGGCTGCGGTACTCACCAACCAGACCAAGCCAGGACGGGCTCAGACCCATACCCGCAGGGGCTGGTCCGACGGGACACTTGGCCAAAGGAGCCCAAAGCCAGCCTCCTGGCCCATCACCGCGCTCCCCCCCCCATTGTGGCCGAAGCGCCCCCTAGAGGCAAGAGAGAGACCCAGGCAGATGGCCAGGACCGGACCACGCCCAGGGGTGCAGGGAGGGGCTGCAGGGATGCAGGGGTGGGGAGGAGCAGCCGGTCAGGCCCACAAGCTTCCAGACAGACGGAGAAAAGCCCAGAGCCCAAGGAGGAGTCCGAAAAGCGAAAGCCCAGAGCCCAGAGCAGAGGCAGGCTGGGCAGACCCTCGCGCCCCCGGCCCCGTCTGCCAGGGCCGAGGCCAGAGCGTCTGCAGAGCCACTGGGAAGGCGCACCGACCAGCGTGGGAAAACCGGGGCGACTTACTAACTCTAGTCAGGGGCGGCTCAGAGTCGGGCCATTTCCACGTCAGCGCTGTAAGGAGACACAAGGGCTCAGCCGGTGCAGTGGGTGGGGAGGGGCCTGAGCCCCCGGTGGGGACACCGCCTGGGGCACGCTGCCCAGCCCTGGGGCAGCCGCAGGGAGGAACAGGAAGGGGCCTCCCGTGGCAGGCGTCCCCAGTCAGCCCAAGCGGCCCAGCCCCCCCGAGGGGACAGGGACGGCGCTGTCCGGCTGGGCACCGCGGTCCCCGGATGGAGGCCGGCTCGCCGTGGCGGCCCAAATCTGCGCCGCGGGCCTGGAAGGAGGCGCCACACCCAGCTCAGTGCGATAAATAAAACTTTTATTCAAACGACTGCAGTACAGGGCACAATCCAGATAAAAAAAAAAAAAAGAGGAAAGGAAACAGGAAAATAGTTTGAGCACTTTACGTCTTCACACAAGTGTCGCAGTTTTGTGTCTACATTCATCCATTGAGCATGGAATCCCCTGGATTTGAGGTCTTCAGCAAAATGAGGACACCGACACGGAAGGCTCTTTGTACATGGGGCCGCGTTCTGGCTTCACGTTCTCCTTAAATACGAAACGGTCTGTGCCTTGAGCTGCTTCTCTCCCAAACTCCCGGCCCCATCCTCGGCCACAGGAGAGCGGGCGGAGGGCTCCATTAGAGCACGTCAGACAAAGAGGCATCCACAGCTTCACGGGGCGGGGGGGGGGCCCGTGGCGGGAGGGGCCGGGCAGGCTGGGCCCTGGCTCCCTCCTCCCCAGGTTCAGGGTGTGAAGAGGCAAAACCAGTAGCCACAGAGTCCAGCACGTCTGTTTCGAAGTCACCAAGACACACAAAGAGATGAGAGCATTTAGGGAGGATGGGGCAGGGGCTGCCTGCTGTCCCTGGGGAGGCAGGCCCAGGGCTGCCCTCCCCAGGGCCAGCCCCGGGCGGCCTGGGGGCTGTGATCCCCTCACCAGGCTGTCCACCGGTTTCCAGAACACGTGGGGGCAGGCGGTCTCTGAAGCTCTTTGGAAAGTCCACGAGGGGCTGCGCCTGCCCTGCCCCCCGCCCCGCTGGGCCCCGCGTGAGATCACACGGCCCTGGGGTCACCGCCCATCCGTGCTCTGGTCTCTACACTGTGGAGGAGGACGTGCAGGGGGCCGGGGCCGTGGCCTCCCTCACAGGAGTGGCCAGCTTCCTCAGGAGGCCGCCCCGGCTCGGCACGCACCTGTCCGTCTGTCCGTGCGGCCCTGGGATGGGCCTCCCCGGGCCTCCCCTTCCCTGACAGATGCCAGCGTCCGTCCGCTGGGGGGAGGCAGATGCAGGAGTAACAGTGCGCACACCAGAGTCCATGCAGATCGGCTTTAGTTTTTCAGGAAAGAAAAGTCCTTTTCCTGTTTTTTCTTTTTTTTTCTTTTTCTTTTTTTTTCTTTTTTTTAAAGATTTTTCTTTTTCTTCAGACTTTAGGCCTGGCTCGAGGTGAGCCATCAAGAAGGGACAGTGCGTCGTGAGCATGGCGGCCACAGAGCAGAGGCGAGGACGCCGGGCCCCCGCTGCCCAGCTGGCAGCTCCCGCCTGGCGGACACACGGGGCCGGGGGCGTGTAGACACGGGGAGCAGAGATGGGGCAGCACCATGGACCCTGGGGGGATCTCAGAGTCTGGGGTCACCAACCGGAAGGCGGGACGGGGCAGGTGAGAGAGGAAAAGAGCCCGAGAACAAACTGACGAGGGCGCGGAGGAGAGAACCGACGGAGGCCAGACGGATGGGGGGCTCTCCCGAGCAGCGGCGGCCCGTGGTCCGCGTCCTCACACTGTGGACACCAGCGTGCCGCTGCGGAACAAAGCACAGGACGCTGCGGGCCGCACGCCCCTCCCGCAGCCGCTTTGGGGTCAGCCAGCTGCCTGCTCCCCCCCATGCCCCCCGAGCCGGGACAAGGGCCAAGCCCAGGCGGGGGCACGCAGGAGCAGCAGCCCCGGCCGTCCGTGCCGGCCAGGCCACCAGGAAGGAGCAGCAGGGCGCGCACCGGGCTGAGGGCTCCTGGAGGACGGGCAGCCCCGGTGGCTGCTGGGGGCATGGGACCAGGCTGGGCTCCAATGGTTCGGGGCCCGCTCCCACCCACCCGGCGTCGGAGCACGAGGGCGGATCTCCGGCCCCGCTTGGCGCTATCCCAGCAGGGTGGGCTCCTGCCCGGACACCCCCGCGACTCAGAGAAGTGAGAGGTAGAGAGGAGCAGCCCCCTGGGCCCCACCTGCCCCAACCCAGAGCAGGGTCTCCGCATCCCTAGGCAGGTGCCCACGGAGCAGTCCTGGGAGGGTCTGCGAGAGGGAGTTCGCCCTGCCCACCCGCAGCTCCCAAAGACTAGTGCGAAAGCCCTTACCTGCTCACAGCCCGCGCTCCGTAGTCATCTAGACCCTGGGGGGGAAGCAACACAGGTCAGGCTGGGGGTCCTGGGGGCGAGGCGGGGTCCACAGGACCAGAGGAAGCTGGGCGCTGGCCTTGACCCCAGTGGGCGCGCGGCGCTGGCTGCGGCAGAGGGCCTGGAGGGCCCCTCCCACGTGCACAGCAGTGACGGCCCAAACTCACGCGGGCATCTCCTCCTCTGGCCAGCGGCAGACCACGGGTGGTGTGAACTCACACTCACAGGCACACGCGAGACAGATCCCCTGGTGACCCCTCCACACCCGTGTCCCGTGGCGAGCAGACAGGGCCTGAGCACACCCGCAGGTTACCCGGCGGGAGAGCCTGGGATGACCCGGCAAGTCTCGGAGCGTGTGGGGCTCTCTAGGAACCAGTGACACTTGCAGGGAGGGGCTGATGGCTGGGCGTGGAAGCTAGCCTGGGCCGGCCCCTGGGCAGAACACACCCCAGCACCCCAAGACACCAGCTGCAGACCCAGCTGTGCGGCCGAGGGAGGTGCTGTGGGCGCCGCCATCAGGAGCCGCTGGGGACACCCTCCTCCTCAGCCATCTCAGCACCACGACCAAACCCGGACACGGGCGGTGGGAGCAGCGTGCGGTGGCCAGGCGTGCCTAGGCTCAGGCAGCTGTGTCCCGGGCCCGGACGGTGTTAGAGCATCTCCTGCCTGGCGGGCTGGATCTGTGCTCCCGAGGTGCCTCCCCTAAGCTGGATCGCTCCCCCCGCCATCGCCCTGCTGCTGCCTGGAGTGCCGGCACTGGCCTCAACTTCTCTAGAAGGTTCCACCCCAGGGCCTTAGCTACACCTCCCCAGACTGGTCCTTCTCACCGTATCATCGACTCCACCTTCCCGTCCACTCTGCCTGGCCATAAGCTCCCGGAAAACCGCTCCCTTCCTTGCACATACCTCCCCACTCCTGCTGGTTAAGCCCCCTCACAGGAAGTGGGGGTGCGAGGCTGCTCAGGACTGTGCTGAGCAGGGGAACTCCCTGGACCTCACCCACCTTCACCACCACTCACCACAGCCCCAGGCAGGCTCAAAGCTCCGTGGTCGCCCCTGGGGCCCACATCTTAGAGAAAGTCCCCTCTTCTCCCCACTTCCGGGGGTTACGGGGCTGACCCGGACCCTCCAGCACCTGAAGCCTGGAAGCGAAAGCGAAGCTACTCCCAGCATGGTCACAGCAGACAAACGTTCCAGAAGCCCTGGGCTCCTACAACCTCTGAAGCTTCCCACACAGAGCCGCACCACCCTCACACTCACACCCCAGCTGCACCAAGACCTCACAACCACCAGCACGCCCTCCAGGGGCTCTACTGGGGACCCTTGCTGTCGCCCAGGCCTTGACCTTCTGCCTCTGGCCACTTGGTCTTGGGTGACCTGGGCATGAGTGCCTAGCCCTGCCTCCTGAGCCCCGAGACATACTAGAATGTTCTGGCCACGTCCCAGGCCTCGAACGCAAGTGCTCACATCCACACTCGGATCCGTGACTGCCGGAGCCCAACAGGCTCGGGAAGGGGGCTCCTGGACACGAAGTCCTCCCCGATGCCAGGCTCCCTGAGATGGGGGGGGCCTGGAGGCCGCTGATGCCCCAGCCGGAAGGAAGGCCGGACAGAGGGACCACCTTGCCTGCAGGAGAGCCCCTTCAGGCGTAGGCCCCTTCTGGGGTCGCCCTGTGCTGCTCACCTGGGAGAAGGCGGGCACGGCCACACTGTAGGGCCTCTGCTTGAAGGGGCCGGCTGTCTGGGCAGGGAAGGCGCGGGACGATGCGTTGTAGTCAGGCGGGGGGAGGGCCAGCTCCTCCTTGTCCAGGAGGTTCCCTGTGCTGCTGCTCTTGCCCTGCTGCAGGCTGTGGGGGTGGGGGGCGTAGAAGCTGCTTCAACCCAGGCCCCCAGGACCCCGTCTGACCCTCCACCTTCCCCGTGCCTCCCTTGGACCCTTCTAGAAGCCCTAACGAGGGGCCACAGCCTCACTGAGCCCGTGAATAGGGCCTGAAGAGGTGGCAGGAAGAAATTCCTAAAGCCCACGTACCCTACATCGACCCCGGCCCTCCTGGGGCAGCTCAGCCCCTGCCCAAAGGAGGCTACAGCAGGGGTGTGCTCCCGGGCCCGGTGGGGGGCAAGGGAAGCCCCCTCCCCACACAGTAACTGCTCACCCTTCCTCCACAAGTAGCCTGCACCCACCCCCCGGGAGCCCCCACGCGCAAGCCGGGTGTGGGGGCAGGCCTGGGGGCAGGAAGGGAACAGAGCCCAGCCCAGGCGTGTGAGCGGAGCAGGGGCCACTGGCAGGCGCACGGGGCCCTCTGCCCCAGGCAGCCTCTCCAGGTCAAAGGGCCAGCAGCCTGGGTCAGCACGCTCACCTCATGTGCAACCTGTCACTGCCGTCGCTGTCCAGAACCCGGGTGTAGGAGAAGGGAAACCAGCCCCGCCTGCAGGACAGGAGCGCGGTGAGAAGGCGCCACGGCCCGGGTGCCCGCGGCGCCCCGTCTGGCTCTCAGTCAGCCAACACAAACGAGCACCCGGGGGGACGGCAGACCCCGGCCTGCACCCTGGCGAGCCTTCCGGCCCCGAACGGGAGGCTGGGCGTCTCCCGCAGAGCTCCGGTGGCCGCGGCGGCCAGGGCTGGTGTCCAGCCACACGGAGCAAGGCGGCGACAGCACAGAAGCCGTCTGGAGGGAAGGCAGGTGGGCCGTCTGGGAAGGGGGTATCCTAGCGATCTCCCGCCCCGCATTGCCCCCCCAGACGGCAGCTGCCTCGCCGTGGGAGCGGAGCTGGGTCCGGCCCCTCTGTCCCTGCCTCAGGTGCGGGGTGGGGGAGCCGCGAGTCCCCATCTCACCACCAGCCACATCCACGTGACAGCGGTGGGGCAGGGGAGGAGTGGCTCCTGGCCAGGGTGGCCCGAGCCGCAGAACGACAGGCTGGCGGAGTCTCAGGGCCGCGGGTGTTACACTAAGCCGCGAAGACAAGGCTCTGTGTCCCGACACGCCAGCTACAGGCTGACCAGAGACTCGGGGGCAGCAGGGGGCCTTGGGGCACACAGCCGGCCTCTGCCAACCGGCAAGCCGCACGCCCAGCAGCAGGGAAGGTGCGAGACGGGCCACGGCGTGGGCTGGCGAGAGACGGCGAGGCCGTGGCTCTGGTGGAGCCGTCCCGTCCGTGCCGCCCGGCTCGGAGGACTGAAGACGCGCGGCGGGACACTCGGTCCGGAAAGGACCCTGAGGCGCCAGGACAGCCGAGGGCCTGGCAGGCTGCCCCGTCCCGTGGCTCCCTATGGGGGTCCCACTCACATTTTGGTCTTCTCGCTCTCCCCGTAGTGCCAGCCGTCACGGGCCTCGGGCACCAGCAGGGTGATGAGGTCCCCCTCCTTGAAGCTCAGCAGGGTGCTGTTGTCCCCAGCCGCGTGGGAGAAGATGGCCTTCACCCGCATGCGGCCGTTGCGCTCTAGGCCGGCCGCCATGGAGCTGGAGCGCGGCAGGGTCTTGTTCTCAGCTGTAGACGACAAGGCAGGAGTGAGGGGACGTGGCCGTCCTCCTGCCCCTCAGCCTCCTGACGGGAAGATGCTGGAAGGCCCCAGGTGGGCCTGGAGCGGGATGCTCGTGTGAGCAGAGACATGGAAGGACCCAGCGGCAGACCTGCCGCTTGTCAGCTGCGGGGAGCGCTGGGCCCGAGCCTCAGCTTTCCCAGCTGCTCATCAGCAGAGCCTCGCTGGCTGGGGCAGGGGGCGGGGTGCCGTCCATGGGACAGGGCTGCAGAGCTGAGGGACCTGGGTGGGGGGAAGAGGGCTGTCCCACTGTCCGCCACGGCCCTGCCAGGCATCACCCGCGTGCTCTGGTCATGGGCGGAGCCCTGATGTCCCGGTCCGGCCCTGTCCTGCTGTGGGGACTTGAAGGGAGCCAGGCAAGGCCTGAGGGACCAGGCCGGAAAACCTCGACGGGGCCCAAGGGGGCCGCAAAGGTCCCGCATGCACTCGGGGCTCTGGAGGCTCCCCCACCACCCCGTTGGGTGTGGCATGGCGGCCGGCGGCGCGTCCCAGCCCTTACTGGCCGCGTAGCTGTTCTTCGGGGCCACACTCTTGCGCACGGGGAGCGTGTTGGAGTACGAGTCGCTCAGCTTGCTCTGGGACTGTGGAGGAGACGAGGTCTTGGGCTGGACGGCCTTGCGGTCGGCCCAGGGGCTGTAGTCCTCGCCATCTGGGCCCGAGACGCCATTCATGACGGGCGTGCTCTCCTGGGCTGACAGCCGCTGTGGGGAGAGTCGGGGGATGGGGGGGCAGCGGCGCGGGAGGGCCCGGTCAGGCGCGGCCGGCGTGGGGACCCCTCACCCCAGCCACCCTGGAGCCGGGGCGGGAGCCATCCGTCCACACCCAGGAAGCCTGCGGGAGGCCACGCACTCACCCCCACAAACGGGGCCAGCTCGGGGGGCACCGGCAGGGGCTTGGCCCCTGGGATGGGGTCTGAGATGACCAGGCTGGACTTGGAGGCCGACAGGGCGCTCGGGAGGACAGAGCCGTTGCTGGGCACCTGCTGCATCAGCTGCACGGCACGCTCCGGGATCTTGTTGGGGTCCGCGCACGCCTGTTGCCACAGCGGCAGCTTCTGGGCCAGCAGCTCCTTGCCCTAGAGCGGAGGGAGCGGGACAGCACGGGGTCAGGGCCGGCCGCGCAGCAGGGCCACCCCGCAAAGCCACGAGAGTCTGGGGTGCGCTGCGGACCTCCCCAACTACGCTCCCCGGAGCCCTGCCTGATCACGAGACACTCCCCCTCTCGGCAGAGGGGGGACCTGTCTGGCTGACGGCTGCCCCACACCCAGTGGTGCCTCCCAGCCAGAGAGGCCGCCCGGAGGTCCCTGAGCCCCGACCTGGGAAGGAGGCTGCATTAAGCCAGGTGGTCTCTGGGCCACTAGGGCTGCGATAAAACCCAAGGTCCAACCTGAGCAGGGGCCACCACAGGGCCCCGGGAGAGCACCGTCCCGGGGTCCCTAGCCGCGGTCGGGCCAAGCTGTGGGAAGGTGCAGAAGTGGACACCCCACAGGTGGTACTCCATAGATGCAAGGTGCTAACGGTCCCTCCCCCAACCCAGGGGCCCAAGAGCCCAGCTGTCCCTCCAGTGTGCATCGGGGTGTGCCCAGGGCACAGCTAGCCGGACGAGCATGGGGCTTAGCAAAGGATGACGAAGCCACGGGTCTGGCAAGGAATCCAGAACGAGGGACGGCTGAGTGGGCACCAGCCTGTGGGTCCCTGTAGCCCTGCTGGCGTCTGATGCCCACTGCATGGGCCTGTCCGGGGTGCGGGGACAGCTGTGCCATCCATCCTCTGGTCTGTTTGGCCACAGTGGCTGCCTGGCTTGGAGCAGATGGGTCACCTGTGTCCCACTGCAGAGCCTGGAGCTCCCAGGGCAGACTAACTCCGGCAGTCACTGTCCCCAGGGCCTCTGAAGGGGCCATCTGGCCCTCACTGCCTCTCCCTGCTTCTGACCTGTGTCTGGGCGAGGAAGGAGTGTCTGAGTGAGAAGTGTGGAAGAAGCGAGAAAAAGGCCTTATGAGCAGGCCATGCCCTCCACCACCTGCTGGTTGAGACCAAGGACCAGCGAGACAGGGCCAAGGGCTGGTGCCCTGTTTTGCGATTGAGATCTGATGCAAACACAGCTCGTCCACGTGTCTGGGGCTGGGTCTGGGGCTGCTTCTGCTGCTACGGCCCAAACCCAAAATGGCACCTGGACCCTGGTTGAGAGAATTGGTGGACAGCTCTGGGTGGTGGTGACAAGGCAGGTCCATGCAGACCCAGCACCAAACAGGGGCAACCCTAGGACTCCCCCCGGTGATGAAACCCACCTGTGGGGCTGGGACGCACCTGCCAGGGAGATGCCCGGTGGCCTGCTGCAGGGAAGAGCCTGAGGGGTCCTGCCCTGGTGCCCCTGCCCCTGTGCTTGGGAGGGCTGCATCCAGCTCCCTGGGAGGTCAGCTGTCACCCTGTGCACAGCAGGAGCTGCTGGGGCCCAGAGACCAGGGCTTTCCCGCTCTCCGCCCACCCCCGCCCCACCCCCCACGAGCCCAAGCTCTCCCTTACCTGCCATGGGGCCCGGCTGCCGCCAGAGGGCGCTGCCAACCACCGCAGCACAGTCGCCCAGAGGCAGGCCGAGGCCCAGCTGCTTGCGGGCACCCCCTCCCCCGCCCCTGCCCAGCTGCCCCAGGGAACCCTCCCAGCTCCCACAGGGGACACAGGTCCTTCCGCTGCCCTTGCCTTGCACCTGTGAACAGGCCCTCAGGCAGGCCCGGGAGGCAGAGCCGCTCTCAGGGGGAAGGCTACTCTCCCCTACACAGCCCTGGCTGCTCTCCCCTACACGGCCCTGCCCATGGGGATCACAGGGCAAGTCTCCTATCACGCACACGTGTGGGAACGTGCATTTACCCTGCTGCTCTGCAGACCCCTTTATTGAAAAAGGATGTGAACTTGGTTGCCTAGCCTCATCTGCTGAGCTCTTGGAATGTTCTGGAATGTTCCAGGGGACAGAACTGCTCCCTCCCCAGCTCCTGACTATGGACTCTGACTAGGGGCTCATCTGGAGCTACCCCTTCATGCAGGGGACCCAGTGTCCTCCGGATTGCCTAGGAGGGGCTCCCTGGCTCTGCGGCCTTCCCTGAGAAACACCTGCCAAGACTCAGAGACCTCTACCGCATCTGACCGGTGACTCTCCTACCCGCTCGCCATCCCTGGGGGAATCCACAATGCACGGCATTCCTTTCAACACAGCTCAACGGTGGACGCGCCCCGACGGCCACCAGGGAGAGTCCACTTCTGCCCACGCCCCAGTGTGGCCCGCAGAGCTCACCTTGGAGTGGTAGGCAGCGGCGTTCTTGGCCACGGCGCACTGCTTCTCCACCAGGAAGCAGAACCGCCTCCTCTCCTCAGTCAGCGCGGTCCTGTAGCCGTCGGCCGCGCAGCTCTCCAGCTCTCCTTGCCTGCTGCCGATCGCGTCGATGTACTGGGGGCAGGCGGCGGGGGCGCACGTGAGCCGCGGACGGGACAACACGGGACGGTGTCCCGCTCTGGGCAGCCCCCCACCCCTGGAGCAGAGCGCACCTCCCACCGGCCCACGGGGTGGGGCATGGCCACAACCTACTTGGACCGAGGGAGCACGGGTGGAGTGACGGTGGGGCAACCCCATGCCCTACTGGGCCCCTGTCCCCCAGCAGCTTGAGTCCCTGCCCCCTACCCCCTCTGTGCCCAGCAGCCACACAAATGTGGACCACGCTGGCAGATCAGGAGGCCTGGTGTCGTGGCCTGCCCTCCGTGGATCCTGAATCCAGGCATCTGAAACCACCCTGCGGGTGGCCCAGGAAAGCTCGCCTGGCACGATGTGCTTGAGAATGACTAATTCACACCCAAATCCTGCGGGGGTGGGCAGAGAGTGCAGGAGACACTGCTTGGTGCTGGAGAACACGGGAACATTCTGATTTTGCTGGAAACTTGTGGTAATAAAGCACCCTCAAGACCGTAGGCAGCCGTCACAGGGAGGCAGGAGCACCCCAGCCCTAGGGTCTGCAGAGCCCCGTCGGGATGTGTGCTGGGGTCCACGGGGTCCTGGCTGTTTCCCCAGGCAGCCCCTCCCAGCTCCTTCCCTCCGTGCCCTGGGGCCACCGCCCACGCGGGGAGGCACTGCCGGCCCGCCTGGTCTCTGTGGTCCCGGGGTCTTTCCTGCCTTGAGGGGCGCCTCCCCCACGGGCTCTGACTCAGCGTGGGTGGGCGGTGCTGAGCTGCGGTGGGCGCTGGGGGAAGCGGGAGGAACAGGCTGTTCCTGCCGCCTCCCTTCCCAGCAGGAAGCTGGAGGCCCGAGGACCCGCCTGGGGGTGTGGCTCGTCCCCACCATAGCCGCCAGTGTCCACCAGTGCACAGGCTCAGCCCGTGCGGAGTAGCCACACCCCCCCAGGCAAGGCCTGCCTCGCCCTGCCACCAAACCCGCAGGCGCCCCCACCCTCTGCCCCTGCAGACCACCCAGCTGACCCCGTGGAGGCGGCCGCTGAAACGGGCCTCCAGATAATAACCCGCCGGTCCCCCACTGCCGGCCCGAGGGCACAGCCTTGAGGAGCGGGCCCTAGGCATCACGGGCAGCCGCGGGTTCTGCCGCCGGTGTGCCTGAGGGGACCCAGGGCGGCTCTTGGGGACCAAACCTGCCAGCCTGGAAGAAAAGTCTGAGCCTGGGTAAGAGCCACCCCCTCCCTTCCCTACGGGTTCTCTGCTCTGCTCCCCGAAGCCTTGCGGCCTCCTCCCCTGCACCCCACGCCGGTCCCCTGCGCTGCCAGAAGACTTCTCCCTGGTTGTGAAACGTGTGTCTGCGGCACCTTCCCCACACTGCAGCTCTTCCGGGAAGGGGAGAGCAAGCCTGGAGATTGGCGGGGCCCCTGGGGGGCCGGGGGGGGGCCGTGGGGGCCGAGTGGGCAAGGCTGAGCTCCACGGGGAGGAGGCCAGCGGTGGCCGTGGAAGACGGGGGACTGCCAAGGGGACCGTCTGCACCCACACCCCTCCCAGAAGCCCCACGAGGACAAGAGAGCCCAGAGGCCCAGGACAGAACACGCTCTGGATGGAAGGCCCTGGAAGGGGATGCACACCCCAGGGCCCTGGTGCTAACATGCTCTGATCTGTGGTCATTCCACCCTCCCCCAGGGGCCTGCCAGGGACACGGCTGTGGCCCACAGCAAAGGTGCCTTCCTCGACGCCACGCATGGGCTCATCAGCTCCGTGCCCGAGAGCCCCTGAACGAGAAATTTGTGCAGGTTCCTGAAGGTGAGGGTTTAGCCCCCCAGGGAGACCCCCAACCCGTCCTCTCCTCGTGCCACCTCGTCCTGTCCCTGGGGGCTGCTCTAGCAGCGGTGGCCGTGGGCTGGGGGCGGCTGGGCATGGGGACAGTGCAAGCCTGGGCGAGAGCTCACACACAGGGATCCCACCGTGGCCTCACACAGGGAGTTTGCCTGCAGTGAAGCCACCACGCCCGCTGTCACCTAACGGGGAACCTGAAGGACAGGAGCCACCGTGAATGGTTGGCACGGGACACGGCAGAAATCGGGACACAGGGCCCCTGGGTCTGCTCGTCCTGAAGGCGCACAGCCCCCGAGGCGGCCACGCTGCCCGCCCCACACGTGGTTTTTGGGTTTTTAGGCTGCGGCACGGCTGTCGCCGCAGCACTACCCGCTCCCAGGAGTGGCGAGAAAGCAGCGTGGACCGTGCGGTGTGGGGCGCTGGCCTCATTAGCTCGGTCTGCTAGACTCCCGTGCCAGGGGAGGCAGTGGGGATTTATGTTAAGATTTCCATTTCTTCGAACAAGCTCTGAGAATGGCCGGGAGCAGTGCAGGTCTCGGGGTGAGTGGGACGAGGCAGAGAGCGCGGCCCTGGCAGAAGCCGGCGGGGGGCATCCCGACCCCGGGAACCACAGGTCCTGGGAAGCCAGTGGGAGGGCCTTACGAGCTATGCCCCGGGGGCAGCGGACAGCTTCCACCACAGGCCCCTGGGCTGTCCGGCTGCCCTGAGCACCCCAGCCGGGGCACAGCCCTCGCCAGCGGGGACACGCAGTCCGCACTTCTGTCGAGGAATGCCAGTGGCTTTCCCGACCTCCTCCCGGACGCCGCTCCTTGTGCACAGACCACAGCTTCACTGGGCAGGGCTCGGAAATCTGGGCCAACCGAGCAGTGTCACACTGAGGGGGACGGGAGTGGACGATGCCCCACCCACAGGGTCCGGGCCACGACACCCACAGCCCCAAACGCGGAGGAGTGCTGGAGCTCTCCCGCCGAGCGCAGAGGCCAGAGCACGGCCTGGTCCTCCACCTCTGGCGGCTCAGCTGCTGGGAACGGCCCCGGCCCGTCCCTGCTGAGGGCAGGCAGGCAGGTGGGCGCTGCGGCCGGCTCCCTCCTCGCTCCCGCCTGCCGCCGCCTTTCCCGCTCCCGGTTCCGCGGTGCTATGGCGACCGCACTGTAGAAACCCCCGGCTGAAAGCACGTAAGACCACGGGACACTCCCACTTAGTCACCCTGGGCTACACAGCCCTGGAATCCGAGAAGACAAAAGTGATCAGAACATTTGTCTCCTCTCCAAAGCCAGCGGTGACTCAGAGAGGGGAGGGGCGGCTCTGGTTTACCCCATCCGAGCGGCTGCGGCTGCGGCTTTCCCACGTTTCTCAAAACCTGACGCTGCCCCTTCGGGTCCCTGCAGCTCATGAATGAGAACGTAGTTCTGGGCCTTCAGCTGTCACTGCTGGAAACCGTTACTCCCAGGAGATGACGACGGAACCCCACGGGCCATGATGCTCAGGAACGACAGAAATCTGACCCCCACGTCGCATTCCATAACCAGGCCCGTGTCCCCTCCCTGGGGGATGGACCCTGCACCCAAGCACAGAACAGGAACGGCCTCAGCCTATAGGACTGCAGGCGCGGCGGGGGGACAGAGAGCTGCTCCGTGGATTGAAGGACCCTCAAAACATCATTTAAACCTGAGAGGCCAGAGCAAGACTCAGGGCTGGGACAACTGTGCCGTCCTGCCCATAGGCGCGTGGGTAGGAGATCTGGCTGTTCAGCTCCTTGGGTCCTAGGGTTTCTGTTTTCTGGCAAAAGGGCCCAGGGCTGTCAGCAGACTGGAAGGAGCCTGTGACTAGCAGACCCCAGCCGTAGTTACCCTACCTGAGTACACTTCCATGCCCAGCATCCCCTGTGCCAAGAGGCCTAGGAAAGAGTTGGGGGACACTGAGGTCCACACCAGGGGACCAGATGCTCTGACGAAGGCTTTAAGCCCACAGATCAGCATGTTCCCAAGACCCAAGGGGACGGGTCTCTGCGCACCTGAGTCAAGGCCGTGGGCGGTGCCAGCACTCACGGACCCACACCACCCAGGCTGGGACGAGCTCTGCCTGGACATTGCTTTGCCGGGCGACCCTGCTGAGCTGTGAGGGACTCTGGGTCTCCGTTCCTCTGGAGAGTGGAGGGGCTGACCTATGCCACCTACGCAGCCATGGCCTGGCACAGCGGCCCTTGCCTCCCGTGGCCGTGTTCCTGCAGTGCAAGACCCACGCCTGATTTTACAGACTTAGCAGAAAAGAACATGACGCATCTCACCAACATTCTCCGTGGTGATCCCGGGTCAGAGCTGCGCTCGAGGCGTGTTCAAGCAAAGTGTGTCAGAAACGATTTAGCTACTACAATGACTGTTACGAAATCCAGCAGCTGCTTTCCACGTTCTTCCCGCGCCCAGGCCTGGGTGTGAGGCGGCGAGGGGCACGTGCCCTCCCCCAGGTGGCCTGTCCTGGGAACCTCACGGTCCCCGACGCCACCTCTGGACACACGGGCTGAGAGGAGAGAGTGCCCCGCCCGCAGAGGCGCGGCTGACCGTCCACAGAGCGCGGTGGGGTGGAGGAGCTTCGGAAACGTGAGAACAGGAGGCACATAAAGGGCTCCAACGACCAGCACAGCGTCAGACTCCACACGGTAACGGGACCAGCCTCTGCCATGATCTTTTTTGAAGATCTAAATTACAGTTATTTTGTTTTTGTTTCGTTAATTACACATCCCTTTAAATAGAATAGATTTCCCCCTTTCTCCGACTGCAATCTGGATGTGTGTGCCTTCGGGAACTCGCGCACCCAGGGAGGGGGAGCCCAAGTGGCTGAAGGTCCCGGCCTTCAGGTCCCAGCCCCGGCGAGAGCCTGTGCCCTTCCAAGGGGAGGCCTGCCCCACGGCCACCAGGCTCAGGAACTCACCGGACCTCTATGCTCCCGCACAGCCAGCCGGCCGGGGCTGCATGGCCTGGGAGGAGGGAACGGAAGGGGGACTTGGGCCTGGACGGATGTACCCTGCACCTCCAAGTACCCTGACAACCCTGGCCCCCCAGCACCCTCTGCCCTTCCCAGCAGCCAGAGCAGCCCGGATCAGGGGGTCCCAGGGCCAGGCTGCCTGAGAACCCCAGATGGCCGTGGCACATTGTGCTCAGGCCGGCAGTCTGGGTCCACGCCCGGGTCACTGGACACGGATCCACCCCTCTGTCTCATTTCTTCTTCCTGAGCACTCCCCTCTGCCTCTGGGGTCTTGGCAGCCCCTCCCTCAGTGCACGGACCCCTCACAGAGGTTGAGAGCGACACACTGTTTCCCCGTGACCCCAGCGACTGCACACCCAAGATGCATCCCGGATTTTCTATCAGTAATGACCCCCCCTTGGAGGCTGAGGTCTGCTGCCTACCCTCCATCCTATTCTAGTCAGAGCTGGGCCAGGGCTGGGGACAAACAAAATAAAAGCAGACAATGTTTAGGGGCGCCTGGGTGGCTCAGTGGGTTAAGCCTCTGCCTTCGGCTCGGGTCATAGGATCAAGCCCCACATCGGGGTCTCTGCTCAGCGGGGAGCCTGCTTCTCCCTCTCTCTCTCTACCTGCCTCTCTTGTGATCTCTGTCAAATAAATAAATAAATAATCTTAGAAAAAAAAAAAAGGCAGGTGATGTTGTCACCCAGGCCCTATAGGATTTGGCGAGGGGAAGATACGCCACTTCCATACCTGGGACAGAAGCCCTGGGACCACCAGGTGCCCAGCAGGACCAGCTGCCCTTCAGAATACCCAGAAGCTTTGAGAACCCTAACACAGGCCATGGCGTAACTGCTCACACTCATGTGCGTGGGGGAGGGAACACAGGTTTGGCAGAGACGCTGAGGGCCAAAGGGACAGGGTCACCAAATGAGGCTCGCCACCATACCCCACCAGACACACGGCCCGTCCTCCCCTGACCACGTGCCCCACAGCGCCCTCCGCACGGACGGGCACTTCCACGGGTGCGGAGGTGGGGGTCTGGGGAGTGGCCCTGGCTATGGGGACAGCATGTGGTGCCTTCCCTACTTCCAGATGCAACCCTTGTCCTAGTTAGTGCCCCAAATGCCTCTGAGCACCTGTTCCCTGACCTATAATCAGAATCAGTTCTCTTTGCGGAAATCCCAAAACACAGTTTCAATTACCAGCCGTTCTTGAGATCGGCCAGCTCTGACCCAGTCCCGTTCACAGGGAACCCACCACAGACGGACAGACGAACGCTCTCCATCTCCTGCCCTCCGAGGGGCGGGTCTGATCAACTTTACCTCCCTCCACCCCAAACAGCTCCACTCCATGGGCAGGGCCCCCTGCTCTGGCATGGCCTGGCCACTGGCCACCTGGCTCCAAGGCTTCATGGGAGGAGGGAGGACAGGGTGTGTAAGGGCCTGTGGCCAGTCGGCCGCTCCGGAGGGGACAAGGCTGCCTGAGGAGCCCCAAGCGATGGCCCCTGCCTGGCGGGCAGCCCTACCACTCTCCTCGCCCAGTGTTCCACGCATATGCAGCTCAAGCCCAGGAGGAAGGACACGTGGGCTGGGGGCTCTGGCAGACACACAGGGGATCCCAGCAGTCGAATCTCACGCAAGCCCACCCACCTCTCCGCAGCATCGAGCAAACCCACACCTGAGCCTGCACACTGGACCCCTGGCCACAATGCCCAGCCCTGAGAAAGCCAGACGCACGGGCTCGGGCGGTCTGGGCACGCCACCTGCCACCTGCCCAGCCAGAGGAACACATCAGGGCAGCGGCTTTGCTGCAGCCTGCGGTTCCCCGGGAGGGGCCGCTGTGTGAGTCATGGGCTGCGGGACCTGCCTCCACCTGCACACACAGCCCCCTGCCCCGGGAGGGGCCTGGCAGAGAGGAGAGTCCCCAGGAGTGGAGCAGGGCCATCTGCTGTGTTTGGAGCCCAGGTCACTCCCGCTCTCTGGGGTCATTACTCTCCTCCTCATCAGCCCAAGAGCATGGCCCCAGCAGCCCACACAGGTCAGAAGCCCACCCCCCAGCCCCAGCACACCACGTGGGCCCGTCTGCCTCTCCCTGCTCTTCCTCAGGGCCGGGGACAACACTGAAGCCCCTGCAGACCGTGCACGGGACACACAGGAGTGAAGAGCTTAGATCACACACTGCGTGCGGCCACGGGGATGGTCAGTGGGACTGCGGGAGAGCTGGGACCAGGTGCTTCAGAACACCGAGAAGGAGCCAGCGAGAGGAGGGCCTCACCCTTCCCCACGGAAGGGTCTCCAACAGGCCCTTTCCAGTGATTGCCAGGACCTCAGCCCCACTCCTGGCGGGCTCAGCGTGCCTGCCCCAGGGAGCAGTGGGGAGGGAGGCTGGCCCCACCCGGCAGGCTCTGCAAGGCCTGCCGCCACCAGCACTGGTAGCCCCACACGCCAAGGGACGGCCAGGCGCCAGGGTGGGCGGGCACCTCGGCAAGGCCACCGGGCGGGTCGGCAACACCCACCCCAGACAGGCAGCCAGCATGTCTCCCGCCAGCTCGGGGCTCTGAGGACGTCCCCGCTGGCTTCTCAGAGCTCCACTGCTTCCACGGTCCCTTTGTTTCCGCCCTCGAGAAAGGACACCAAAACCACTGGGCACAACCCGGCTGTCACCGTGTGGCCGCCCCGGGCCGGGCACCCCATGGGATGCATCTGCAGCACAGAACCCAGCCCTCCCTGCAAGGAGTTAGATGCCTTGGGGACAATCACAGTAAAACCCCTGGGTATTTCTGGGTCCAACGGAGAAGGAAGCTGGGTTTGGCAAAGCAGGAGACGGAAGGGTGGCCCGGAGAGAGGAGCCGGAGCAGGTACACGGGAGAGGGATGGCAACCCCCTGGTCAGCGTCAGCACGGGAGGACAGAAGCGGGCCAAGGAGCGCTGGGAGCCTGCCGGGACCACAACCCTCGGAAGGGGCAGAGCTGGGGTGTAAATCCAGATCCAACTGTTGGGGCCTCGCAGCAGGGTCAAGGGGAGCAGAGCTGGCACGGGGCGTCCGCAAGCCACACAGCGGGGGGGATGAGGTCCCGTGCCCAGCAGAAGCGCGGAGAGGAGGAGGGGTGTGACCTGGCCATGCTGGAGGCGTGGGCGGGCTTGGTCGGGGGTGACCCTTAGAAGTGGGGAGAAAGGTCAATTGCGTGTCTCTGAGAATGAGCCCCAGGAGGCCAGGGCTGCCAAGTCTCCCAACCCCAAGAAACCAGGTCTCAGGCCCCGCTGCGGAGCGGGAGTGAACCCCGTCGAGGCTTCCACCCAGCCCAGCTGTCCTCCCGCCAGACCCCACCCCGGGGCCGACGACCTCCGTGACCTCCACCCTCCAGCGGCCGCTGGCAGAGCTGCCCGGCCCGTCCAGGGCCCAGGCCCCACTCAGGACAGCCTCCATGTTTATGGCCGTAAAAAAGAAGGAAGCACGGGCACAGGCCGTGCAGATGAGCCCTGAGAACCAAGTGCCAGGGGCCCCCTGCGGGAGGCCGCTCAGCGGGGACTCGGTGACACACGATGCCCAGCCCGGCCGTGGCGCGCACAGCCAGGAGGTGGGGTCTGCCTGGGGGCTGGGGGGTATGGGTGTGCGCTGCCGGCAGGGGTGTCCTCTCTGGCACGTGGGGACACCGGGGCACACCATACGGATGGCCACACTCAAAGTCACCCACTGTCCCTTCCGTGACACGTGAACGGATCTCGAACGTGATGCCCAGAAGAGAGATGAGAGCCTCCAGGGGGCACACAGGCTCCTGCCCTCCTGGCTGGCCTCGGTGCCCCCGGCGCCCCTGCAAGGGAGCCCTGGTGCAAACACACATGCGCTGAGGGGGTTCCTGGCCTCCAGGAGGCAGGGGCGCTGTTCACGACATCGGGGGGGCGGGGAGCAGAACAGAGATGCCCAGGGATCTTCCCCCACCCCAGCCTCGGGGCCTCTCCCAGATCCAGCTGTGCCTGCAAATGCCTCTGTGGGACAGTGCCAGGGACACAGGCCTCCAGGGTGATGCTGTGTCAGGGGCAGTCCCTGGACACAACGGTGGCAAGAGTCTGGTGCAAGGACGCCCGTCTGGCACAGGAAAAGTGCAGGAGGACGGCAGCCAGCTCCGCTCCCCTCCCCAGGCTGTGGGGCTCCGCATGCAGGGTGGCGGGGGGGCGGGGACACGGTCTGCCCCTACTGCTGCTGGGTCCGTGCACCCCACCCAGTGGGCCTGCTTACCCGCACCGCGCTCGGGGAGGACGCAGGGCACAGGCTCCACAGGCACCAGCAACCTCGCAGGCGCGCCAAGGCACTCAGAGGCAGATGCACACACATGGGCCGAGAACGGGGGTGCACGGCGCACCTCCAGGCTTGCCAACCTGACAGCCAGCATGGACGGTGGGCCCAGGGGGTAGGGCTTAATGCCTATGCCTGACCCCAGGGGCTCCCCCCACATCCCGAAGCAGCTAGGGAACTGGGCAGAGGTTTTCCTGGTGTTTCCTTTGGAACCAATCAGAATCCTGTTTTCTCTTTCCTTCTTATTTGAGTTCCGTGTGGCCTCAGGCAGTGGGTACGTGGGCCGGATCTGTGTCGGCCGGCCTAGGGTTCCAGTACATCAGGTGTATCAGGGCCACGCTGTCCTCAATTCCTGGCCCGCTCCGCACATGGTGCCTGCAAGGCTGGGCACCACGGCGAGGGAAGTCCCACCAGGGCGGGCCCCTCCCATGGCCTCCTGTGCCATCTGCCTCCTGCATCTGGCAGTGGGCCGGCTGGGACACCTGACCGGCCAGCGTCTGCCCGCAGCGGCTCCGGGCCCGGTCCTGGCGGTGGGCAGGCACGAGTTGATTAGAGGAACAGTCTGACGTCTTTCTCGGAGGCAGAACCCAGAGGTACAGAGCGGGAAGATGTCCTTGGGGTTCCTGCCCCTTTGGCGGCAAGCCTTCCGGGGCCTCACCATGGCTACGAGCGCAGGACCAGGGGGCCACAGGCCCCCACAGGCCCCCGCCGGCCCCCGCCGGCCCCCGCCGGCTCCAGGACGGGAGGTACTTGCTGCCCCAAGCGCGCCAGGAGAACAGAGCCCAGCTCGGCTCAGCCCCACCCAGAGTCCCCAGGGGGAGCCCTGCCTCGAAGCTGCTGCCTCAAGGGCCCCCGCGCCTCCGCGGCGCCGGCCGGGGCGAGTCCTACCTGTAGCTCCTTGTCCGAGTACTTCTGTGGGTTCTTGCTGCCCTGGCTCTTCTTCCGCAACTTCTTCAGCTCGGCCTGGCACTTGTCCAGCGCATCGCCCTTGCTCCTCTGCTCCGTCTGGTACTTCTTCAGCGCGGCCTGCGGGGCAAAGACCACACAGCGACTGCTGGGCCCACTGCCCTGCCCGCTCCCACCCAGCGGCAGCCCGGCCTGTGGGCCGCTGGCAAAGCCACGGTGGGGAGGGCGGAGCCCGCTCAGGCCTCGCCCTCCCACACCACCCCCAGCCGGGGCGCCCCCTGGTAACTCAGGCCACATGCCCCGACAGAGCGCGGCACCTCAGGCCCCTCTGGCCCTGGGGAGAGGTGACGGCACAGGGACGGGACCCCAAGGCCTCCAGGTCAGACGCAGAGTCTGTGCAGGCTCTCCAGGGGGCAGGGACAGGGCTGTGCCGTCCCCGCCATGGACAGTGGCGAGCTGTGGGGGCACGGGAGCTGTGCGTGGGGCATCGGACACGCCGGCTTCCCCCATGCACGGCGCTCTGTCCCAGACCGGCTGGCATGGGCAGGGCTGCGGGGAGCCTGCTGGGTGGGAGGCTGGCGGTGAGCTGCCCACCTGGGAGACACGGGGACGAGGGGAGCGGCGCAGGCAGCCCGACAGGTGCGGTACTTACGCTCAGGTACCTGGCGTCCAGCTCCACCTTCTGCTCCAGCTGCGTGAGCAACTCATTGTGGAAAGACTTCAGCTGGACACAGACAGGACGCATAAGGGCTGTGAGCACGACACAGGCCGGGACAGGCGGGGTGGGGTGGGGGGAGGCTCCCAGGAGAGGTGGACGGTCACCACCACACCCTGGACACGGGCCACCCTGAGGGGCAAGGGGCCCGTCGGATCCCTGAGCCAGTGACCCTGCACAGAGGCTTGGGGCCTGGGGAGCTGGGAGGCTCCAAGCACCAGTGTGGAACAGGAATCTGGAGGTCAGACCATCCTGGCCTTGGACAGCCTCGGGGGTTCTGCTTCCCAGGGCGAACACAGGAACTGCTCCCCCCATCCCCCCCTTTTCTTCAGCAGTGAAGAGTTTCTCAAGCTGACACGGGCAGACTAGGAGGGGCCCATATGACCCCTCGCTCTAGACCTGCTGGGTCATGGCCGGGCCTGGAATCTGGGCAAGCGTGTGCTCCCCAGGCCTGCCCCCCGTGTCTCTGCCAGACCCCTGTGGCCAGCTGACAGTGAGATCCTGCGTGGCCTGGGCCCTTTCCTCCCAGGTCCTCCTGTATGTCCTTGGCCCCATAGTGGATCACCTCCCCACTGTGTGACTTCTGTCCCGAACCTGGGATTTGTGCCCATCTTTCTGAAGGCAGCCACATGGCGACACAAGGTTCCCAAATGGACACGGGGCCAAAGCACGCAGCCTGCCCTTCCCCTCCCCTCCGTCCGATCTGCCCCCTACATTTGCCCCTTCCTCCCCAGGGGCCTCACCATCTCTTCCAACTGATTCTGAATCTGCCTGTGGACTTCGGCCATCTGAAAGAGAACATCTCCTGGAAAGGCAGCGTGGAAGAGAGGAAAGAGAGAGAAGGTCAGGACTCTGCGCTAGGGTCCTTCCAGCTGCCCGTGGCCGGGGAGCAGGGAGCAGGTAGGCCCAGTGCCTGGGCCTGGGCTGTGGGTGAGCAGGCAGAGGTGTGCCGGAGGCAGGGCAGAGAGCGCTGTTTCTCCTGGTGACACCGAGACGAGACGGAAGATTCTAGAATACTAGAATACTGGGTGACTTCGGGTGGTGGGGTAGCAGCTGAGGTTCACGACAGAGGCCCCAAGTGGGGGCCCCTTCGTTTGCACATCTCAAGCCCACGAGTGAGCCCGTGACACATGCACCTCTTACCCTGCGTCCTGCTCCCACGCGTAGCTGCCAATAACCGCCGTCCCCCCCACTCTGGGCCCAGGTGGCACTGGGACCCAACACACTTGCCGCCCGTGCTGCCCACGTGGGTTACGTGGGGTGAAGGCAAGACCTGGCTGCAGGCCCCAGAGGCGAGGGGCCCGAGGAGGCACCTGAGGTCCGTAGCGCCGGGGACCTCGCCAAGGGGCTCTGGGGACAAAGGGAGCGCGCCGTCTAGCTCTGCACACATTTCCCGAAGCAGGGACAGGGGAGGGCTCAGCCTCGGTCTTCCTCTTCCCAAAGCTCTGGAAGGTTCCACTCAGCTGCCACCGTGAAGTCTGGCCACTAGGACCAACAGGTGTGCAGCGCTTCCAGCTGCGGCCACGGAGGGGAGGTCGCCACACAGCCCATGACACCAGCATGGTCACCCCCAAGTCAGCGCCCACGGAACAGAAGCTCTAGGTCAGAGGCTGCACAAGGGCCCCCAGCCCTGGAAACCCTCAGGGCTGCCCAGCTGCCCCGCAGCGCTGGTGTGAAGGACCCCCCCCGCCCCCCACCCCGGCAAACCGCTCCATTTCCTCGCGTGCAGAAGGAACAGCTGGAACAGGCAGCGGGACATCGTTTGCTTGGCGCCATTCAGAGCTCATGCTGTCCGTGTGCCACCGACACGGTGGAACGGGGGCCACTCTGCCCCCGAGGGTGCTCGCTCCCGATGAGCCCCGTCCCTGCGGTGCTGCCCACACCAGCGCACCCTCCCTGTTCATGCCCTCCCCGCTCATGCCTGGGCTCCGTGACCCAGAGACCGTTTTGGGTTTTGGGGGGCTGCCGCAAGGGGTATCCCAGCAAGGCCACCCGGAAATGGAGACAAAGACCCACAGCCCCTGCACCCTGATGGGGTGGTGTGGCCTCCAGCCGCACAGATGGCCCCCCAGGGTCACTTTTCCCCCCAGAAGCACCACCGGGCTCTGGGGAGGTCTACTTCTCCTGGTCACTGGCTGTTCTGTGACGTCCACAGGGCACACTGAGCCCCGGCTGTGACTAGGAGCTGTAGAGATGGAGCTGTCAGTCAGCACAGCCTCGAGGTCCGCCAGACTCCCCTGCAGGGCCCCGAGCTCTGCTGTTCGAATCTCAGTGCCCCGGACGGGTCCCCAGACACCTGCTCTGCCCCAGAGAGATGCACAGATTTCTGTTGGGGGCGGGGGAAGGGACTCTGCACGTCCTAAGGAGCCGACTCACTGGGCAGCTGGGACCCTGGTGTTGTCCCACAGATGGTGTGCGGCTGACATGTCCCTCCTCCTCAGCCAGCCTTAAGCCCAACTGCTGCAAAGACACCCTCAGGCCTGCCACTCGGGTAAGTACAGACCCCCAGGGCCTCAGGCCTGAGGCACCCCTGCCCCAGGGAAGGGCCAGTGCCCTGGCCACAGAGCATGAGTGTGTGTGGGGGCGTGAGCGTGTGTGAGCACGTGCCCCACGGACACCGGCAGCTCCAGGCCCAACACACCTGGAGGGAGCATGAGGAAGGGACACATGCACGAGCAGGGGCAGCCCCCAGGAGCTCCTGTGCACAGACAGCCCAATGCGGTCTGTGGAGCGTATGGCACGGGCCACCCCAGACGCCAGTGCCAAAGCTGGGAAATGCCAGTCGGCGCCTTGTGCTCCGGGAAGCCGCTCCTGGTCCTGCTCCAAGCGTGGGCCTGCCCTCGGGCCTGACGGCGCCGCAGGATGGGGCAGGGCAAGCACGGGCGGCCCTGGGAAGAAGGCCCTGCCTCTGCCGTGGCTTCCTGTGGTCAGGTCAGAGTACGAGCACACGTGGTCAGTGGTCAACCGTGTGCAGCGGTGGGGTGAGCAGACCAGCCCTGCAGGAGAGGTCAAGCCTCCCCTGGCCTTGTCCCTCCTCCTAACTGATCCCGACTCTGGGGCTTTGATGTGTGAGAGAAGAGGCCAAGAATGACGGGGACACAAGGTGACGTGAGGGGCCCGGTTGCCAGCATTGGTGGAAGGGAAGCCACTGACACAAGAGGAGCGAGTGGCCACTGGCCAGGTGTTCCTGGGGACGAGGCCAGGCCGCTGTCACGCTGCCTGCAGCAGAGCCCCAGTCTGGTGTGTGCGGCAGGGATGTGTCCCGGGTAGCTGGAGTGCTGCCCACAGCAGGCCCAGACCCACAGGTCCGAGCCCCAGATGCCCAGAATCTCAGACCCAAGAGGGCAGCACCAGCTTGATTCTGCCTCTCTGTGCTTTTGGCCTTCTGGAACTTTCCCAGGACACACACTCACCTCTCTGAGGTGGGGAAAACATCTGGGGTCTTGTTTGTGATACGGGGGACTTCCTGTGTTGAGGGCCCTGGACCCACCTTCTGGCCCTCTGCCTACGGGCATTTGGGAACTGCTCAAGCCGAGGCCAAGGGGCGCAGCGCCCACATGGCACAAGGTCTGGCCAGCCTGGGGAACAGCCCAGAATGCGGCCTGGAGGGCGCTGCCCTCACACCCATCCTCTGCCCCCACAGCCCTTGTGAGGGCCATCAAGTCTGGGAGCGAGACACGAAGCAGGCTGTGGCCCAGCACAGTCTCCCCGCGGGGGCGGCTCCCAAGGCATCGGCCACGCTTCGGGCCCCAACACAGTTAAGTCAACAACAGGATCCAATGAATAAACACGTATTTCCTGAAAAGTCTGGCGCGACTGGCTCAGGGAGGATGCCTGAGGAACGCGAAGAACCCCGCCGAAGGGCCACCACTTCAGCAGAGAAATTCCTCCCGTCCAGAAAGCGGCCACTGCACTGCCGGTGGCCGATGCGTCAGAAGCACCCGGCGTGTCCCCCCGCCGCTGCCTGCACTGACGGGCCTGGCTCCCCCGCCAGCCCGCGGCTGTGCCGTTGGTCACACAGCCCGTGCGCACACTCAGCTAGCTCTGAGCTGCAAACCCACGGCTGCACAACCAGCCCACACAGTCAATTTTTAAACTGCGTTTTACAAGCAGCTGCTAGAAGCCATATGCTCGCGAAGCACGCGGGGCGGTGGGAGGAGGGGGAGCCAGTCCCCGGCAGGCACTGGACCCCTGGGGGCGCTGCTGGGTGCCCTGAGCTGGCTGCAGGGGGCAAGGGCAGAGCTATGCCCCGCACGACACTCCCCGAGAAACAGAGAGCCCAGGCGTCCGCACTAGCGCTCACTAGTCTCCTCCTCCGCTGTGCTTTCCGGGTCCCGAAGGCCCGGACAGTCCTGAGCGCCTGTGAGCCGGCTGGGGCTGTGTCTGATTTCTGGGTTCCATGACTCTCTCCGTCCCATCTCCCCCACGTGACGGACAGCACGGAGTGGGGACCCCCCCTCCCAGGAAGGAGACCGCAGGCTGTGCCCCGGCCTCCTCTGAGTACAGACGCACGGGCCCCAGGGCATCTACGTCCTGGGTTCACAGCTCCGGCGGGCCCTAAACTTGAAAAACCGGGTTTGAGGCAGCAGCTCCAGCGCCGCGCCGCCAGAGCACACAGCAGACGGGCGGGCGACTGCCCCGGAAGCCCCACCTGCAGGAAGCACCAGTGCTCCACACAGCGTCAACAGGGGTGCCAGGCGGCGGGAGCCCGCACCCAGGGCGCAGCGGGCGGTGGGAGGGCAGTCCTGCCACACCCGGGAAAGTGAGTCAGCAAACCCCGAGGCCTGGTGGCCCTGTCAGAGCTGGGGGACCCGCAGGCCCAACAGCTCACAGGTGCGGAGGGCGATGTGCGGGAGAAGGAGGGCTGAAGGCCAGCGGGATGAGAGAAGAGATGCCCCCGCGCCACGGGCCTCACACAGGACCAGGACCGAACAGTGCCCACGACACGAAGGCATCTGAATCAGAGGCCACGTCCTCGCCAACCCTCCCGCCCGCTGTTGGCCCTGCCCGTCAAGCAACCAGGTCAGCGGCGAGCCACCCCCGCCAGCGGCCCCTCAGCTCGGAGATTTAACGTTTCGGGTGCTCTCCGGAGCCTCAGTCCTCTCCCGCACACACGGCCACGCCTGTCCCCCAGGAGCAGCAGGGGCCGGGCAGCCAGCACACGCGCGTGCGCATCCACGTACACACAAGACACACGCACGTAGGTACACGCACACACGCGAACACGTACACACACTCAGGCATGCACGCGCACTCACACGCATGCGCTCACGCACACGCTCAGGCACGTGCGCACACACATGCATAGAAACACAAGCACACGCGCACACAGACACGTACACACAGGCACACGTGCGCACACTCAGGCACACACGCTACACTTGCTCACAGACACACGACGTGCTGCTCCCCTTCATCACAGCCCGCTATGGGGCGTGAAGGCGGAGGGAACGCCCGGCTGGGCTTCAGCCGGTTTTGGCTCACGGGGCTAACACAGGACAACAGTGGGATGGTCAGGACCCACCTGGGAGCCCAAGCATCTGTGGACACAACCACATGCTGCTGAGGACGGGCTGGGGGCCAGGGAGCCACCCGCGGGAGGATGGGGACTGTCCTCGCGGGAGAGCAGGCGCCTCTTCCAAACCCTGGGATCCCAGCAGGAGGCAGTACCGGGGCTCGGTGATGCTGCCTCACCGATTCTACCTCCACTACAGACAAATGCCCCACCGACCCTCAAAAACTCGCACTGGTCCCGGCAGGAACCTCGGAGCCGGGCAAGCAGAGAGGGCCCCAGCGGGCCCCACA